GCAGCAGACAAGTTCCCAGATGCCATTAAGAAAATCATTGTGGCTCAGCTCCTGTAGCTCGAGCAACTAAGGCGCCAGCCACATATACCAGAACTGGTGGGTTTGAATCCAGCCCCAGCCTGCCAAACAACAATGACAATTACAACCAAAAAATAGCCAGGCGGTGTGGTGGGCACCTGTAGTCCCAGCTACTTGGGAGGCTGAGACAAAAGAATTGCTTAAGCCCAGGAGTTGGAGGTTGCTATGAGCTGTAATGCCACGACACTCTACCCAGGGTAACAGCTTGAGGCTCTGTCTCAAAAAAAAGAAAAAAAAAGAAAAAGAAAAAGAAAATCATTGTGTCTCAGTGACCATAGCGCAGCAGTTATGGCACTAGCCACATACACCGAGGCTGGTGGGTTCGAACCTGGCCCAAGCCAGCTAAAACAACAACGACAACTGCAACAAAAAATAGCCGAGCATTGTGGTGGGCACCTGTGGTCCCAGCTACTTGGGAGGCTGAGGCAGGAGAATTGCTTAAGCCCAGGAGTTGGAGGTTGCTGTGAGCTGTGATGCAACAGCACTGTACTGAGGGCAACATAATAAGACTGTTTCAAAAAAAAGAAAAAAAGAAAAAAGAAAGAAAGTCATTGAGGAGAAAAGATGTCTTTGGGAATAGGTTTTTGGTGCTGACAAAAGTGCCTTATTCTTGAAAAAAGTGCTGTAAAGCAAGCAGTGATCCCCAATGTTTTTGGCATCAGAGACCTATTTCATGGAAGATAATTTTTCTATGAACCAGGGGGTGGGGGTGGGGTAGGGGATCTGACAGGAGTCTGAGCTCAGGCAATGATGCTAGCATCAGGGAATAGTTATAAATACACTCAAAGCTTCGCTAGCTGCTCACCTGCTGATGTGCACCTGGTTCCTAACAGGTCACAGACAAGTACCATCCGGGCCCTGGGATGGAGGACCACAGCTGTAAGGGATATTTATTTGTAAGGTAGAGACATGAGTATCAGGATTTAAAGCAGGAAGAGATAGGGTAACTCTACTGTTTTGTGTAAATGCAGTCAGGTCTATCATAAGGATTGCCCTTGGCTTCTAACTCCCAAACCTTGAAGAGAAAGGACTGCTAGTCTTTCTTTTGGTTGTACAACAAGAAGCCCTGGACAACAAGAACGCTTTTTTTGCTGGAGTGATTCTATCAATGCTTTGTTTCTGAAGTCAAGAATACATACCTTCCTGGTAAGGTACTGCCTTTTAATTTTCCTTTGATATTGGACAATGGCCACCCAGAACTTCATGAGTTCAGTGCTGAAGGCATGAAAGTGGTCTACTTGCCCACAATGTCTGTACTCTTATTCAGCCTCTTGATCAGAGGGTCTTTATGAAGGGTCTTGAAGACTCATTACATGCAATACTCTATGGAAAGTAGTGTCAGAGCTATGAAGGAGAACCTCAATAGGCAGAACATTATGAAGGTATGGAAGTATTACACTACTGAAGATGCCTTTGTCAAAGAAAAAGCTGTGAAGACCATCAAGCCTAAAACAATAGTTTTTGCTAGAGAAAACCATGTCTAGGTGTTGTACATAACTTCATAGAATTTACAACAGAGTCAATTAAGGAAATCATGAAAGACATTGTGAGTATGGCAAAAAAGATCAGGGCAGGGTCATCAACAGTTTGAAGATAGGGATCTTGGGGAAATCCAAGAACTAATAAACACCACACCAGAGGCAGTAATAGAGAATGACTTGGTGGAAATGAGTGCTTCTGAACCAGTACCAGAACGTGAAAAAGATGTAGAAGGAGCGGTGCAGGAAAACAAGTTGACATTAGACAATCTGGCAGAAAGGTTTTGATTATTCAAGACTATTTTTGACTTCTTTTGCAACATGGACCCTTCTATGAAGTAGGCACTGAAACTAAAGCAAATGGTAGAAGAAGGATTGGTACCATATAGAAACATATTAGAAAAATGAAAAAGCAAAAATGTCAGACAGAAATTATGTGTGTCTGTAAAGTTGCACCAAGTGTGCCTGCCTCTCCTGTTTCTGCTTTTACCTCCTCCACCTGTTCTGCCTCTGCCACCACTGAAACAGCAAAACCAACCTTTCTTCTTCCTCTTTAGCATACTCAGTGTGAAGATGATGAAGACCTTTATGATGGTCCACTTCAAATTATGAATAGTAATAATATTTTTCTTCCTAATTTATTTTAGATACAAGATCTTGTTCTGTCACTTAAACTAGAGTGCAGTGGCCCAATCATAGCTTACTATAACCTCAAATTCCTGGGCTCTTGCCTCAGCCTCCTTAGCAGCTGGGATTACAGGTACATGCCAGCAGACCTGGCTAATTTTTTAAATTTTTTGTAGAGGTGAAGATGCCCAGGCTGGTATCAAGCTCTTGGGCTCTTATCCTCCCATCTTGGCTCAAGTGACCCTCTTGCCTTAGTTTTTCTATTTTTAGTAGAGACAGGGTCTCGCTTTTGCTCCGGCTGGTGTAGAACTCTTGAGTTCAAGCAGTCCACCCGCCTCAGCCTCCCAGAGTGCTTGGATTACAGGTGTGAGCCACCACACCCAGCCTAAATTACTCTTAAATCACAAAGGAAAAAAACCCAATTGAAAGATGGTCAAAGGGTCTGAATAAGCATTCCCTCAAAGAAGATATATAAATGGTTAATAAGCATGTGTAAATCAAAACCATTAGTCATTAGGGAAATGCAAATCAGAATGAGATACTATACCACTTCATACTCACTAGAATGGCTATAATCAAAAAGATGACAGTAAGTGTTGATGAGGGTGCAGAGAAATTAGAACCATTGCACATTGCTGGTAGGAACGTCAAATGATGCAGCCAGTGGCTCGGCGCCTATAGCTCAACAGGCTAAGGCGCCAGCCACGTACACCTAAGGTGGCGGGTTCGAATCCCCAGCCCGGACCCGCCAAACAACAATGACGGCTGCAACCAAAAAAATAGCCGGGCGTTGTTGCGGGCCCCTGTGGCCCCAGCTACTTGGGAGGCGGAGGCAGGAGACTCGCTTAAGCCCAGGGGTAGGGGGTAGAAGAGAGCAGTAATGCCACGACCCCAATTAGAGGGGGATGGTCCTAGGCACTGTCTCAAAAAAAAAAAAATGATGCAGCCAGTTTGGAAAACAGTATGGTAATTTCCCTTAAGGTTTAGAGCAGGGCTCCTCCAACTTTTTAAACAGGGGGCCAATTCACTGTCCCTCAGATCATTGGAGGTCCGGACTGCGGGCCCTGGGAAGAGTCGGCTGTTAAGCAGGACAGGCAGCGGCGGCAAAGACACCTGGCGGGCCGGATAAATGTCCTAGGTGGGCTGCATGTGGCCCACCAGTTTGAGGACGCCTGGTTTAGAGTAAGGTTAAGGTTATTGACCCCACAATCTACTCCCAGGTACATACCAAGAGAAACAAAAACATACTTCCACATAAAAATATGAATGTCCAATATTGTTCATAATAGTCCCAAACTAGAAACAACCCAAATATCAATTAACTAATGAATGTATAGACAAGATGGGGTATATCCATACAATGAAATATTATTATTATTATTATCTTTTTTTTTTTTTAGAGACAGTCTCATTTTGTCGCCCTCGGTAGAGTGCTGTTATGTCACAGCGCACAGCAACCTCCAACTCTAGTAGCTGGGACTACAGGCACCTGCCACAATGCCTGGCTATTTTTTGTTGCAGTTTGACCGGGGCCTGGTTCGAACCCACCACCCTTAGTATATGGGGCAGGCGCCCTACTCACTGAGCCACAGGTGCCGTCCTCAATGAAATATTATTTTATAATACTGAGTGGGCATAAAGTTTGGCCTCTCAAAGTGCTGGGATTACAGGCCACTGAGCCTGCAATTATTAAGAGTATAAAAGGGCAGCTTGGCACCTGTGGCTCAAGTGGCTAAGGTGCCAGCCACATACACCCAAGATGGCACTCTACCCAGGAGGACAGCTTGAGGCTCTGTCTCAAAAAGAAAAGTATAAAAGAACTCGGCACCTGTAGTTCAGCGGCTAGGGCGCCAGCCACACACACCAGAGTTGAGTTTGAACCCAGTCCTGGCTTGCCAAACAACAATGACAACAACAAAAAAAAAATAGCCAGGCGTTATAGTGGGCGCCTGTGGTCTCAGCTACTTGGGAGGCTGATACAAGAGAATTGCTTAATACCAAGAGTTGCTTAATCCCAAGAGCTCTACTGAAGGGCTTGAGACTGTCTCAAAAAAAAAAAGTATAAAAGATTGCTGAGAGCAACAAGTTCAAAAATTCGATTCTAATCTAAATTATTCTTTTTCTTTTTCTAATCTAAACCATTTTTTTTTTTTTGAGACAGTCTTACTATGTCACCCTCAGTAGAGTGTCATAGTGTCACAGCTCACAGCAACCCCCAACTTTTGGGCTTAAGTGATTCTCTTGCCTCAGCTTCCCAAGTAGTGGGGACTATAGGTGCCTGCCACAATGCCCGGCTATTGTTTGTTTTTTTTGGCCAGGGCTGGGATTGAACCCACCCACCTCCAGCATATGGGGTGGGTACCCTACCCTTCTGAGCCACAGGCGCAGCCCAACACCCCAGCTATTTTTTGTTACTGTTGGAGTTGTCATTGTTGTTTAGCAGGCCTGGGCTGGGTATGTGGCTGGCACCCTAACCACTGAGCTATGGGCACTGAGTCTCTAATCTAACCTATTATCTAAACTATTATCCTATAGTTCTAATTCTATATATCAGGGATCAGTCTCCAAAATAAAACGGTACTATACAAAACAATATTGGAGACCAAGCTGAACAAGAGCAAGACCCCATCTCTACGAAAAATAGAAAAATTAGCCAGGTATGGCAGCAGGCACCTGTAGTCCCAACTACTTGGGAGGCTGAGGCATGAAGATTACTCAAACCCATAAGTTTGAGGTTATAGTGAGCTATGATGAGGTCGCTGCACTTTAGCCCAGGCAATGCAGTAAGACTCTGTCTCAAAAAAAAAAAGAAAGAAAGTAATAGAAAGCTGTTTATAATATGTTTCCATTTAAGTAAGAAAAAAATGGGAAGTCCTATATATATACTCTGTACATAAGATTCATAGGAAACTTCTAATTGTAGTTATTTCTGGGATGGGTACAGGAAATTATGAAGCAGGAAAATTTTTTGCTGTATATACTTTAGTACTATTG